ATATGCCTATGTATATATATATATATATATATGCCTATGTATATATAGCCTACATAGATACATATATGTATATATATGTATATGTAGGTTATGGTAATTGTGAGAAATTGTGTTTTGAAAGAGAAAAGGTTATGACCAAGGTAGTGACGGTACTTGCCACTCTTTGATTTTTCTTGGGTTTTTTTGGTGAGATTCTCTCAGATATTTTGCAGATAATTGTTTCACAGCTACGTTTAAAACTGTATCAACATGTTGTTAATTGTACCTTATATAGAAATTCGTGAAAACTAAATGTTAACTTTGGGCCTGATCTTTTTCCAGTGGAAATTCTGAGTTAGCTCCAGGTTGGTGGCGGATACAATATAGCTATCATTTTAGACTATTTAAATGTAATAAAAACTGAAAGACGTTTAGTAAAATTTGAGTCTGTACCCAGCTGCTTTTTGAAGCCAATGTCGTATATGCAAGATTGCACAGAATTTTGTTATGATGTTTGATACTTGATGAGAAAAGCTCCGGTGTGCCTGGTGATTCTTGCCTTTCTTCTAGTAGCGTTGTTAGAGAGTGGAAAAAATTATGTCACTAGGTATGGGGGCTATAAAATTTATGTTCAAGGAACATGTTTTTTGAAATAAAATAATAATTCTTGTTTTAAATTATTTGCTTTCTCTTTCCTCTATTGCTTTTGCCTTTCGTGATCGAAGTCTAGGAGAGTAAGTCAATGTTTTACTGAACTTTTGGGGATATTTTTTTTCTGATGTGCTTATAACAAGTTAATCTATTTCACTTAATTGTTTCACTAGATCAGGCCAAAAGTTATTTCAGTTGACTTCATTTACTAAAACTCCTGAATTGTATACATATTTTTAATTGGATTTTTAAAAAACAGCAATAATTAGCGTTTGGTTTTGTTTGTTTATATACGTGTATTTCTGTGTGTGTGTATATATATGCATGCTATATTCTGTTGGTTTCTTTTGAAATTCTATCTTTAGCCTTCTACTTTTTGATTATAAGATTATGTAACATTACATTTCTATATTTTAAAAAGTCATTGTTTTGAGATGCATGTTTGCATCCATGCTATAGTTCAAATACCTAATTGAAGTAATTGAATTTTGAACATGTGGTTAGTTCAAGATCCTGCGATATAAAAGCAAACTCTCCTATGGATGTAAAGCATGCATTAGGAGTTCTCTTTCTTTTTTTAGTCTTTATTAATTTGTGAAATTGTGGTAAAGACGAAAAAATAAAATAACTTAAAAGTTAGGAAAACTTTCTTCTGTTTTTCCCTTTTTAAGGATTCACAGAGCAGGCAAGGAGGTTATAGTATGCATCAGCTTCAGGGGAATAAGGAATATGGCAGTGAGAAGAAAGGTTACCTTTTAAAGAAGAGTGATGGGTAAGTTCTCAGAGTGCATAATATATAGTGGAAACTATTACTGTGTCCATGCACTGACTTTTATTATTTTCTCCTATGGGTTCTTGAGACATGTTCTCGTAATGCTTGTGCTAAAACTAGCTGCTCAGAAAGCTCACAGTTCAAATCTGAACACAGATCGGAACTTAACAGAGTAATTATAAAGAGCATGACAAGGAATCATTAAAAAAAAAAAGGTCATATTAGAAAGAAAGCTGTTGCCTTTGTAGGTCTCTAAAAGGTCCTTTGTCCACGAAAAAGCTTTCCAGCCACTCTTCCCCAAACCTGTAGCATTACTTGGGATTAATGTGTGTTTTGAAATCATGTCTAGCTACTGAATTTGCTGTTGTTGATCTTCGTATGTAGGTTAAGGAAAGTATGGCAAAGAAGAAAGTGCACTGTTAAAAACGGAATTCTTACCATATCACATGCAACGGTAAGTTACTTTTATACCTTTTTTTAAAAATAATAAATTAACATTATCCTTTCCTGGCGAATCTCTTGGTGTTAATCTACTGTTACAAAATAGATGTTACTTCTGCTTTTGACCACTGAAGTCCTGTGAATTATCAGAAGTTGAAGACTGATTTATGAAGATTTTGTTATATTTGCTCTGTTAAATTTTTTCCTAATTATCTGCTGCTGACCACTAGTGGGAACAGCGCTGGAGGTTAAGTAGAGCAGTACTCCTCTTCTTACTGTACCTTTGAGATACGTGATGTCATGCATCTAAATAAGTTGAGTGTCTATCGTGTAGCTGTCTGCAGCACAGCAAGATCCTGTAGACTCCTCTCTTACCCACTGGAGAGCTTGTCAGTGTGGTCAAAGGAGTCTGCGTAGATTTGGTCAGATGTCTTCTTACTCCATTCTGGCTGCTGACTGTACTGGAAGACCAATAACTAACACATCCATAGATGTCTGTTACAGATGGTTTATTCCTACATAGGATGTTAAATATTTAGAACATTTTAATACCTACATATTCATTTTGTAAAGAATTTGGTCAGCTAATCAGAGTGAGAAAATGAGAATAAAGGCTGGTTCATAATTAACTTCAAAGCTTCCTGTGGACCATATGGAGAAAATGAAGTCTTCTTCAGCCTTCTAAAATTTTTCTTCAATATTTTTTCCCATCACTATGGCTTATGAAAGTTGATTTAATACTTAAATGTATTTATCAGAAGTTTGATATGAAAATGGCAATAGGAGTGGAACACGCTTTACAATTAGTCCTTCAACTGGTTTTACTCAAGGGCTTTCACGATATCTGTGAAGCACGTAATTTGGAAACTTGGGAATTGTTTGATATCTCATGTTATTGATAGAGTATGATAGATGAGCAAAAGTGTTAATATTTTGAGTGCTTTCGACTAAAAGTATAAAGTTCTTGAAAGTTTAGCTCCTAGTGAGTTGTGGGAATGGGGCATATATCTGAAGTGTCTTCCTAGGAATGCTAAATCATGAGTAAGCAACAACAGTATCATGGTGGAGATAGTCTTAAAACTGTCTTGTGGCCGTCTGACACACACGTGTAAACAGGTGACTCCTGTTTCTCTTGTTGAAGGAGCTGGTCCCATTTCATTACCCTTTTTTCCACTTTTCCGCAAATTCATGGACACGAGCATGAGTGTCTGAAGTTAACCAGCCATCTCGAGCGAGTTAAAGGGAAGTTTCTACCTTTTGTACTGGAGTACTGGGGTTTTTTAATGGCTAGGACAGTATCCTTGCCTCCTTTGAGGAATCACTTACAAATTATTTATACTTAGGTTAGGAATGATTTGATTATCACCATTTTAAAAAAAAAAAAAAAAAGCTTAGGACTTGCCAGTGTAGAATTCTTTGAATTGCACTATTAATTTTATGCAATTGTATGTAGCTGTGTAAAACCCTATATTTGCTCTTGTCTGTTGCGGTGTCAACAGGAATTTTCTTGTTTTCAATGATGAAAAGTTTAGATCACAAAAGTCTATTCAAGACTAAGCTTTGAAAACTGAGACTCCAGTCACCTATTTACTCCTCAAGGAATTGTTGCTCCTTGAATGTCAAAAATACGGTGATGAATTTGTAATGACAAACATTTGACAATGTGGGAAAGGCACTTTGAGATTTTTTTGTTGTTGTTTGCTGATTTTGCATTTCTGTTGTATCTGATTTATAACAGGAACAGCTTCCAAAACTCAGTTCAGAAGTACTTACTGATAACCGATGTGTACTGCTGAATTTATATTTGCCTACTGTAGTAATTTTCATTCACAACCTCTATAATTTCTGATAAATGTGTATAAATCCAAAATACTTCAAAGATATATTTAGTTATCATATCTTAAGTAACCTAGCTACGGTGGAGAGTATTATTAGCTGTATTGATTGCAAGCTCTGAAACTCCAGATCTCCCGTTTCCTATTTCCCTTTTAAAGTTTTAGGATTATGTCTTTGATTTATTTAAAATAGGAGAAAAATAGGAATATGGGCATGCTGTAATAAAACATTGCATTGTATTTTTACCTTTGATTCAGAAATACAATTAAAAAAACCCTTCAGCATTAAAGTGTTCTAAATTAAGGTTTATTCCTTTAATCCATTTCTAATAGTCAAAAAAGAGTTGCCATGCAGATTTTAATTTTGTTTAGATTTAGCAACCTGTCCGGTCTGACAGACCAAGTCAAAGTTGTGCTGGTCTCAGCCATTTTGAGAGTGTACATATATGTATGCTCATGCTTTAAATTAATCTTGTGCATGCTCACTCCGCAGAAAGGAAAAATAATCCTAAATCAAGACATTTTTAAAGTAAAATAAATTTTCTTTTTAGTCCAACAGGCAGCCAGCTAAACTGAATTTATTGACCTGCCAGGTGAAGCCAAATGCTGAAGATAAGAAGTCTTTTGATCTAATATCACGTATGTAGCAACTTTAGCAACATCTTGCATGATGTGGAATTTTCTAAAAATGTCAGTTCAAAATTCAGGTCTGTGTCGGGACACGAGCAGTGCCTCACACGAGCTCGGATCCCTCCAATTTTGGAGATGGGTGGAACGAACAAATGGACAAAGAACTACTTTTTGTCTGTACGTGACGTCAATGCTGTCCATTTATGACAAGCCATCAAATGCAGCTCGTGTGCTGCTCTTGGCTCCGAGAGATGTTGAACAGCTTAGTGGAACGTGTGTAAGTTATGTCGTCCAGGAAATGGGAAAGACCTTCGGCCTCCTCTTGCTTTTACTTTGCTGCCTGTTCTGCTTTTTGAGGGCTCTTTGGGGGTTGAGGAAGGCAAGGAGAACCCAATGTCTCTTGTTCTCCTTATCCTTCTTTTTAAATTAGGTTCTGTTTGTCAGTGCTAAAGCTCCTGTGATGTCTCTTCTTCCCCTCGTACAGCAGCTGTTTGTATCCTGACTGATTTTAGAAACGCTCCTGAAGCTGATCAGTTAACTGGCTGCTTTCAGCCCTTACATGTGTAGTGTTAAACAACTGATAGTTCCATCTTTCTGTATTTACAAGAACAGTCTCTGAAACCTTTGAATGGGAGGTTTACTATCCAGTTCATATTTTATTCTTTGATTAGTAAAAAGAGGCTTCTTAATCCAAACAGAGAGAAAACTATATAATAGGAACAAATTAATTTTTTCCTTTTCTGCTATGTTTTTCAGATTTGACTTCCAAAGAACCCAATTTGATTAATATTATTATTTTTCTTTAAAATTTCTAAACATAAGACTTGAAATATGTACATTTGATGTAGATCAAAATTGTCAGTTTCATCTCTTTTTTTCTTTCTGCAATTGTTTTCTGTAGCCATGAATAATGTATTAATGTTGCTGGTTGGGAGCAATTGCTCTTAAATGCTCTACTTGCCAAGTAGGTTTTAGTAACAACTATGTAGATAATTTAAAATTTATGTGCCAAATGAAAAAAAAGAATTTATTTATTTCAGATAACAGAACGTACCACTTTCAAGCAGAAGATGAACAGGAATACGTAGCGTAAGAATGTTTACGTTTTTTCAAGTTTATTTTGTGAAAGAAGTGTATGAAATCACACATAACGGTGAAAGTACTTGTCTCAGTTAATGCAGAAATAGTGCTTACTATCTGTTTTTTCGGATGTTCTGAATCTATAAATGTAAATAATTTTTTCATGCAACAGGGCTGTATGGAAACCTTGAAGCATTAAAAGCAAAACAAAAGCTTGACCCAACCAACCAAAACCCTGTTTAGATTGTGCCAGCCATATGGTTTCTGTGCAGTTGCTTGGCATGATATAGTAGATCAAGTTATTAGGATTCAAATGAAATATTTTTAAATTTGTCTTAAATCTTCTTTCTCACCCCTTTTTTGCTGCTACTTACTATTCCTCCTGATCCTACCTTTTCCTTTAGATTAAAAGTAATAAATAGATAAAAGATCTCCATGTAACACTTGGAAAATATGTACAAGTAATGAGTATTTTCTACTGCAGGCCTAGAAATAAACGGCAAAGCAGATCTCTCTGAGATTTGTGTACTTCAGAAGCCAGTAACTTGCTTTATTAATTCACATTTCCATCCAAATTATTTCCTTTAAAACTATCTTTCTCCCTGCAACATCAGAGCTACTTCTTGCCCTCAGAACCACATACAACTTTTTTCCTCCTGAATGTTGCTCTCAGTGTCATCAAACCTGTGTCGTGCAGAATGTTTCGGTCTGGTGCTCACCCCTCACAGTTCTAGGAGTACAGTTCCTAGTGAAGGGGGACAAGCCTGAGCCTCCCAGGCTGCCTCGTTTTTTAGGACTTTGTGTTACATGTCCATATTCTGATGGAAGACCATGTTGCTCCACATGTATTTCAAAGGTATGGGCAGTGTTTGTAGAGTATTCCAGTTTTATTTTTTTTTCTGTAGTGGTGGAAAGCAATGGCATTTACAGTTCAGTATTGGAAGGCATGAATGAAATAGGAAGACTGGATAGTTCTGTGTCATGTAGCTATTTCCTTCCAGAGTCTTCCATAGCTCTTGAGAGTACAGAGCTGACTTGCTGGTCATGCTTACTGCACATATTCTGGAACTTAATTATCGCAGGAAATTTCTTAGTCAAGAAGAAAATACTATTATTTCTGATCAGTAATGTACTTGATGAGTCAGAAGGCTTTGTGTCTCTACCATAAATTAATTTTTACTATATTTGTTGGTTTAAATTTATTTTATTTTGGTCTTAACGCATGAGCAAGGTAGGGGGAGAATACATTGGTAGGTTAATTCTTATTGGCAGGTCAATCAATTTAGTTCAGTTGGCTGCCTGTTGGATTGTTTTGGAATCCTGGGCTGGTTTTGTTTTCCATTAAAACTGTTGTTCCTATTTGTTTACCACTAAAGTCTGATTTAAAGTCCAGTGACTGAGAAAATTACTTTTACTGGATTATTTTTATGTTGCTGCAAGTTTGAAAAGTTACATTTAACTAAAGAGACATTAGTTGAATCCAAGTGTTGCAGTGTGTGCAGACAAACTAATAGATGCCAAGTGTGTTTTGCCTGTATTGGTGCTGAAATCCACCCCCAGAAAGATGTTGCAGTGCTACTCTGACAAGCCTTGGTTTTGAGTGCTATTTGGGTGACCCAAATAATGATATGTGCTTTGAGATGTACAGCAAAACTTACTTCAAGAAAATTTCTGCAATAGCTTTAATTATTTGAAGTTAAAATAGAATCATAGAATGGTTTGGGTTTGAAGGGACTTTAAAGATTGTCCAGTTCCAACCCCCCTGCCATGGACAGGGACAATGATGTGACTCCTTGGTTAGAGCTGTCATCCTCTTGTCCTAATTTTCGTTTTATTTATATGTGTGTGCCTCCCTTGACCCTTTCTTCTCCATCTTGGGTTTTGCCCACTCACTGTTTCAGTGCTGCTTCTGTCTTTTATTCTTTGTGCACCAACTGAAAAATAAGTGCATGAACAGATTTTCAAATCACTTTTCTTCCAGGCTCCTATCTAATTAGAGAAAAAAGCAAGATGCATTTCTTTATATTCTAGTTTAACTGACCTTGCCTGCATTTTCTTAGTGATCATTTTAAACTGCTTCCATAAATAACTCCTACTTAAAAATAAAAATAATAATTAAAAAAGCAGATGGTTTAACATGCAAGTCACTGAAGCCTACCTTCTGTTACGGTTTTATTAGTCGTCCTCCTCAAACATTTCCTTTAGTCCAGTACATTTTTTGATTTTTATCCAGCCACCTGTCTGTTAACCTTTAATTACTGAGTGACTGTTCTTTGAAATTCTCAGTGAATTATTAGTTTCTATAGTAGGTAAAGTACAGTGTGTATGAGGGCATCTATTTTTTTTTAACCTATAGAATAAGAGAAGCCTTTTGCATTTTGAAAATTGTGCGTAAGGCCAAATGTACTCTGGACATGAGCTTTTAGTTCTTTTCCACTCTTCTTTTGAAGGTGTAGAATATATCCATTCCTGTAGGAAACACCTGGATTACAAACAAAGCTAGATTCAGAAATTTTGCTGTCAAGAAACTCACAGCTGACTTCAATCTAGGGTTTAGCAACAGCCTTCAGGTATTTTTTGCTTTGGGAAGACTGAGTTGAAAGGGCTCGATACTGGTTGTTACATGCAGTGTGGAGCAGGCTTTTATCGGCTTAGTAATACTGAAGACGTATAATCATAGAACGATGAGGTTGGAAGGGAACTTAAAGATCATCTAGTTTCAACCCCTCTGCCATGGGCAGGGACATCCCCCACTAGACCAGGCTACTCAAAGAGAATAAGAGAAATCTGAGTGACAATCTGGTCCATGAATACTTCCATTTCCTTCATTGGATCAAGAAGTCACCCATGATGCCAGATTTTTGTTTAGCCTCGTTATTTCCTTCAAAAGTGGGAATCTCCAGAACACAAAATGTCTTAAAGGATCATAAGAAACTGGAAAAGAAGCATCGTAGAAGGTTGGACAACCTGTCTTACTGTATTAGATAGAAAACAAAGTAATTCTATGAGACCAGTGATTTTTAAATTATTTCAGAGAACACTGCAAAGTAGTAACAGATGCTTTTTGTTTGTTAGCTTGACACTGATGCTATTGTAAAATAAAGGAAATAGTTGGATTTTTTTAAAAGGAAACAAAAAAAGACTAGTACAGATAAGAAAAAGAGGAAGCACAGCAGTCATAGGGCAGTTTTCCTAAACTATCGATATTGTATTAATATTATTGGTATGAATTGTTTATTTTTGAGTGTATTGCCTGCCAGGAGGGCCTGGTGACTTCTTGTATAAATAACACCAGTCATTAAGAATGTGTCTGTTACTGTGCCTGGGTTAAACGGGCCTCGCTGGGGAGCCTCTTGCTGTTACTGTCTCCCAGATGACCTCAGGGACACGGAGCTGTGGTCAGTGGGCTCCTTCCAGCTCAGGAGACAACCAGAATAAGTGTTGCAGTTTAGGAACTTCTACTATGGAAAACTGTATCACACTAAAGCTGACTCAGTTATGTTGCATTTATTTTAATTGCATCTAATATTTTTTTAATTGGGACTTCATAGTTGAGTTTTATTCAAATTCTGCCTTTTTTAACCAAACTAATAAAATTGTAACCCTCAAAGAAATTCTCAACAAATGTCAGAATAAATGTTATCTGTCTGAATTTAATGATTATTTTGTTCTGTGTGTTTAACCAATCATTGCTGTAATATTAGAAGCAAGACACTGCCACCTCTAACTTTAATAACATCGGATTTCATCAGAAAAATTGCAGAAGAATGCCATCTAGTGTGGGTTCTTATATTTTATCATACACTCAAGACAGAGATTCGTGTAAATAAATTGTTTTCATCTTGGAAGCCATGGAGCAAGTTTGTTTTCAAATATTTCAATGTCTCTCTTATTCATAAGGTTGATTTTTCAATAATTTTTCAAGCTTTTTATCTTTAAAACAAGTTCCCAGATTATTCTTGACCCATATAAATTAAAAGATATTTGTATATGAAATAGATATTATATAGTGCCTATATGCCAATTCAGGCTTTGAGTCTGCATTGCAAGACTATATCCATGAATTTCCCTCTGAAATTCTTTACAGTTTATCTTTGAAATCCATCATTTCTCACTGAAATAATAATGCAATCTGAAGTTCTCTTAGTTTGTTTAGGTGACTATAGCCATTTTGGCAGATTTTACAGGATTGCAGATAATTGGGATGCTGTAAGCAGAGAATGGATTGATGAAACTGCCAACTTAAAGTATTTCTGTGGAAAAAAAATGTGTATATGCAGTAGTTCTAAAAATATCAAAACTCCCTATCCCTGGGAAGATTTTTGGTTTTTAACTTGCTCCTTTTCTCAATTAGAGGACACTGTGTCTGCAGTGTGCTTGTCCTTAATATAACTGCTTTTCCCTCTTTATTTCCACCTGTAGGGGAGCAGCCCCTGAGAGGTGTTTTTGGTTAAAATGTTACGTGTAAACAAAAACTTGCAGGCTGGTTGGGGGGACAGGGGGGAACTAGTGCCTGAAATATGATTGAAGAGTCTTGATTTGTTGCAGTCAGCAGTCACTCTTAAAATTTTAAGTTGGCTAGCAATATCGATACTTTCCGATCGTCGCCTCTGCCTTACTCCATATGTCGCCATGGCCATTTTCATTAATTTAGCCTTTGCAATCTGACTGATGAGAGCACAGAGACCTGGATTTTGACAGGCAACCAGACATGAACTCTTTCAAAAATGCTCTTACTGTCTGCTCTATGAAGAGAGAGATGCACGCTGGAGAATGTAGCGATTGTCATTTTCTCCTTGAATAATGAGATAGGCTTCAGGAAGACCCTGGACACCTACTTTTAAAGCAGTTGTATTTTCAGGAGCTTAACTGCACCCCTTCTCTTCCACAGCTTCTGCTTGTTTGAGGAATGTGAGAACTGCCTTGACTTTAACATTGTTCACCAAAGTGACATTAGAATTAAGACTTTTTGTCCCCTCTCACTCTTACTTACCTTTCGTCAGATCCTTCCATCTCTCAATTCTCCACGACTCAGTCTCTCCTACAATACATTCCTTCCCTATATTCCCACTCATATGTTGTTGGTGGCAAACTTTCTACAGTTTATAGATTAACTTGTATTTGCAAATGCAGATCTTCATTAAGGTCTTTATCTTGTGCTAGATGGATATCGGTACTGACTAACAGCAAAGAAGAAGCATTAAATATGGCGTTCCGTGGGGAGCAGAGCACAGGGGAGAACAGTTTAGAGGATCTGACAAAAGCCATTATTGATGACATACAGAGATTACCCGGCAATGAAGTCTGTTGTGATTGTGGCTCACCAGGTATCTCAATTTGTTAATGTCATCAACTTCTTGTTGGGAGCAAAGTAATTTCTTGGAAGAAGTGTTTGTAGAGCGCAAACTAATTTTCTAAGCGATGTGTTGATCAATCTTCAGCCTGTTTTTAAAAGAACAAATATGACTTTCATGCGTTAGTTCTGTTTAATTCACTAAAATATTTTTGTGTGTTGTCTGTGCTTACTTCCAGCAGTTCAAGCCCCTCTGGAGTTTGAACTGTTCTTGTTGCACTGTCTCTAGATGCTTGTTGCACTTGAATGGAAGTTGCTTGGCATCACTGATCCTGTGCATGCTACTAAGTAGAAGTGAGTAATGTTTAGACAATGATTGTGGAAAAATTACCTGGCTGGGATCTTACTCTGAGGTTTTATCTTGGTATGAGACTACTAGAATTACAGTATCAAAAATACTCAGAGTTGGAAATAAGTAGTCTCGTGCAAAGAGTGGGACCCGGAGTTGGAATCCTGTCAGGCTGTATCTTCAGAAGTACAGAGTTACAGGTCAGTTATATGTCGCTTAGAGCTTAAGAAAAGTCATCTTGTCATAGAGCTAACGGAATCGATGTGGTAGTTGGCAGCTGTTGCAGCTTTCACATCGAAAGAGACACTTCAAGGAGGTGATGTTCATTTGGAACTGAGTTGATAATACATGTCTTGAAGATGCCTATTGATGCAGAACTGATCCAAATGAGAATTACCTAGAAAAAAATAGGAACTTTAATATCGTGTCTGTAAAATTCTGAAATTGGTTTATTTAGTTATTCCATCATGTAAAGCTACAGAAACTTCAGATTACAGTTCTCATTCATCTTTTTAAGTTTTTCACTTTTGCTACCCCAGCTTGCTGCTTTAAAACTCCTGACATAGTGCTCTATCAGTTACTGTTTAAGTTGAAGGAAGAGATTAGTTTGAAGACATGTATGTATACAAAATGTATCTGGAGCCTTTTTCTTAAAATCTGGTTTTGCTTGTTCTGTAGCATTCATAGTATAAGACTTACTCGAATATTACGTGCAGATCTCCTCCCTGACAGCAATTTGGTGTTTATTTGCTGGACTAACCAGTGTTCCTTAAATTTTCTTATATTGCAACATTCCTTAGATTACAACATATTACTATTTTTTATATATTAGAAAATGCTATGGTTAATCTGTTATGAAGAAAGATTATTTAAAGTTGAAGAAGTAAAGGTTAAAACTTCAGAGGTTGTCAACAATAAAGTTTAGGAGATCTATTCCTTTTAAAAACAGGAAACAAAAGCCTTACTTTCTACAGGAAACAAATCCTCTGTGCCTTCAAATACAGTCATTCAGTATGGATTTGTAAGTCTAAATTCAGTGCCTTTGGAACTGTCCCTAAATCTGAAAAAACAATTCTGTTGGTAGCAATCTGTGGTTAAATTTGCATTGCAGTTTGGAGAAAAGTATAGAATATTCTTTGCCTGTTTCACAGAATCACAGAATGTTAGGGACTGGAAGGGACATTAAATGAGGAATCATTTCAGAACACATTGGGATTTTTTACCACCATTGAAAACTTTTTTGAGGCTTTGATTAAATATTTATTTTTTCAATTCTACAGATCCAACATGGCTGTCAACTAATTTGGGCATTTTAACCTGCATTGAGTGTTCTGGAATACACAGAGAAATGGGTGTCCATATTTCTCGAATCCAGTCTTTGGAATTAGACAAATTAGGAACGTCTGAACTCTTGGTAAGTTTCCTTAATTTAGATTATTCCTTTTTACTCAAATGTTGACCTGCATATAGGAGACATTCAGGTTCATAATTTCCAGTTAATTTTATTTGAGATATGGGTTTTGCAGAAAGCCGTCTTCATGTTTTTGTATGTGTCTTCTGTCGTGTATTATTGGTGCTTTTGACCACTTGTCACTTCTTGTGTTAATTTCGTGAGGTTTTACAGAATGAGTACTGAGATCTGTTGTGATCTGTGGTCTGTGTGCCATCAGAATGTTGCCTGTTATTAGCTGATCTTGACCCTAAATCAGGACAGTCTAAAACCTCCTCTGATTGAAAAAAAAAGAAAAAAATTGCCTGTTCAACTCGACAAGTGAGAATGACTGTTTCTAATTTCGACAGAAAAATGTTGATTGAAACTTTTAATTTGATGGAAGAAACTCTGTAACATAAAAGTTATGAAAGGAATTTGATATGAGACTACTTAAAAAAAAGGAAGAAAAAAACACCCCAAACAACACAAAAATCCAGAAACCCCAACCAGTTAGAGCAGGTTTATCTCCCCAGTTGTGTTTGGCCTGTGGGAAGATGCTTGTTTATAGAAAATTTCTATGGGAAAACTGAGAGAAGACAGAAGGCAGTTCTGGATTTGTATATGGGTTTAACGTCAGTACTAGTAGTCCTTTTGAAATGTTGAGTTGTTTGCAAAGTTACTATTTGTTTAAGTCAAATTTTGCTAAGCATGAGGCTTTCCAGTAGGTCTAGATACTTTCCAAAAGTAACCTCCTGGTCAGTGTACTAGGAGTTTCAGTGCTCATGCTGCTAGGTGCTCATTCTGTTTTTATATTGGAGACGGATTGTCTTCAAATATAAATAATTAGCTGTGACTGTGAAGCCTGTTGTACAAGTTCTGCGATGATTGGATTCACGCTTGAAAATATTTTTAATTGCTTTATATTTAAATGTAGTCATCATGCTTTAATTTTGCAATCCTGTGTTCCATCTTTTATTAATGACATGGAAAACGCACATTAATAAATCCAGGTTTTAGGTTGCTGTTAGGCCCCAAGAAACCCCAACCTCATTTTTCTTTATTTTTTTCTTATTGCAGCTGGCCAAGAATGTAGGAAATACTAGTTTTAATGATATTATGGAAGGGAATTTACCTAGTCCTTCACCTAAACCCAGTCCATCAAGTGATATGTAAGTTTTAAATCTCTAAATTCTTTAAGTTTACTGTGGAATATATGTTATGTAAAATGTCTTAAACATTAACCAAGCTAGAGGAGGACTAGGACGGCAGAAGAATGTGGTTTTTTCACTCCAGCTGTGGAGTTTCTTGCCATGCAGTTGCATTTTAGCTACCTCAGCTTCTCAGTATAGGAACCTTCAAGTTTGGGTATCAAGATTCATTATTTCGAATCTTGCATGTTTTTGAGTTTTGCGGTGTACCTTCAGGTGGTGAACACAGATGGACTAAATGACGCAGTTTCACGTACTGTCTTGAGACAGTGACAAGCTTTTTCTTCCTTTTCCAGGTACAGGAGTTACACAGAGAGCATAACAGATGTGACTTTGTCACAAAAGACCTTTTAACTTGTTATGCTGTTTTCTAGCTGACTTAGTATTTTTTTCTTTAATCCCATTTTTAGCATGTTTTTCATACTCATTCTGTTTTTAACATGTGGATATACTTCCACAAGAAATCAGTTTTCAGGATTTGTTTTCTTCTCTGATCTTAGTCCCCAGAGTCAGAGTAATTTCTGTATGTAACAAGAAAGCAGGATAAAATCGAGTACGTACCTTATTTTGGGCTTGTTTGCAAGAAGGACATGCGTTATAATAATAACACAGTCTTTATCAGATAGTTTTCCTCCTTCCTTCTCAGCTCCTGAGTTAGGCAAGGTGATTTTAAATTTAAATCGTTGACCCATTTTTCTCCAAATTTCTAAATCAAACTCTATTTTCACACCCCACAGGACTGCACGTAAAGAATATATCACTGCTAAATATGTAGATCATAAGTTCTCTAGGAAGACTTGTGCATCTGCAGCAGCTAAACTGAATGAATTACTTGAGGCTGTCAAATCCAGGGATTTACTTGCACTAATTCAAGTCTATGCAGAGGGGGTAGAGCTAATGGAGCCACTGTTAGAGCCTGGACAGGTAAGATTATCAGGTAAACAAAGTAGAGTATCTTAAATAACGTGTATTTGTAAAATGACCAGAACCTGGGGCTGTTACCATAGGTGCTAAACCAAGAGAAATGACACATGAAAATGGTGGGTTTTTTTCTTCCTTTCCTTGTCATTTTTGTGGTGAGGGAAAAGAAGACTGTATCTGTTGTCATCAGTTGGTCTTAAAGGAGCGTGAAATGCAACGGGAATATCATACGCTGCTCTAGGTGCAACTGTAAGTGTGTGGGAAAGAGCTGTTCTGCGGTATGTTTCTTGTAGCAAATGACCCAAAGAGGGAGGGCTTGACTTGATAACCCAGGGTCACCTGGTAGTACTGACAGTATCATGTTTGCTTTTGTAGTAGTTGTTGAAGGAACACATTATTGACTGTATATGAGTCTGTTTAGTCTGTATGCATTCACATTTTCTGATGAAACATATACAGAAGTACAATTTCTTTCAACCGCAAAGAGATATTTGTTTATTATTTTTTAATTTATTTTTTACATAAAGTTCTGAATACTTGAGTTTTCCTTCTGAAGGCAGTAATGGGTGTTTTGGAAAAAACAATCCAGGCGGGCCTCAAGTATCCCTGTAGGAATGTTGCACAAGAGCAACGTAACCTGGTTTTATTCATAATTTTTGGAGTCATAGAATGCGTTGGGCTGGAAGGATCTTTAAAGGTCATCTAGTCCAATAAAGGTCATCTAGTCCAACCCTCCTGCAGTGAGCAGGGACATCTTTAGATCAGGTTGCTCGGAGCCCCCTCAAGCCTGACCATGAATGTCGCCAGGGATGGAACCTCCACCACCTCTCTGGGCAGCCTGTTCCAGTATTTCCCCACCCTCATAGTAAAGAACTTCTTCCTAGTAATTGATGATGTGTAGCCACTCTGTCGGCAAAGTTCTCTCCTGTTACTTTTGAACCCAACTTGGAGAGATCTCGGAGAATGTTTTCAACAAGTTCTGTGGAAGCAGATAACTTGGCAAAGGACAGAGTGCCAGTCTGTATTGAGTGGAGGGAGTAAGTTCAATATAGTCTCAGCACTTGAGATATCACAGAGTCCTTATCATGGAAACACATTACAAATTCTCTGACTAGGTGGTGAACTTTCTATATTTGTCATCTATAGCAGTTACCACAGAATTAGCTCCTTAATGTTTCTCAGCTATTACAGTCAGTGATACCTTGATAGGTATGAACACTAAGTGAAATACAGTCTGCAGTTAGGACATCTAGGGCAATGTTCTCCACTTTAAAGAAATTTTTTTAATTGTGACTTTATTTCTAAATATACACACTGTAATATGTATTTTTAAATGCCCTTTATCATCTAGAAGAGTTAATGAAATCTGATTGTAGATTAATTTGTCATTAATTTTTTGTAAATGGAATTAAACAGCATTTATATTTGTATTTGTATACATTATATGTATACAAAATAAAGCATGATTCAGTTTAAGTTCAACAAGGAGAAATCTTGTGTCTGGGAAAGAACAACCTCATGCACTAATGTATGCTGGGAACCACTCAGCTGGAAAGCAGCTTTGCAGAACAGCACCTGGGGGTCCTGGTGGACACCAAGTTGAATATGAGCCAGCGATGTGCTCTTGTGGCAAAGCAGGTCAGTGGTGTCCCAGGCCACGCTGGGCACGGTACTGCCGGCAGGTGGAGGGAAGTGATCCTTGCCCTCTCGTCAGCTGTGGTCACAGGCCACACCTGCAGTTCTCTGCCTGGTTCTGGGCTCCCCAGTAGAAGAGAGACCTGAACATACTGGGGAGAGTGGAACAAAAGGCCACAAAGATGTTTCTTTAAGAGTCTGGAGCACCTGATATATGAGGAAAGGCTGAGACATTTGTGACTGTTCGACCTGGAGAAGAGAAGGCACAGGGGCATTTTATCAATATGTATAAATACCTGAAGGTAGGGAGCAGTAAGGCGGAGCCAGGGTCGGTTCAGTGGTGCCCAGTGACAGGACCACAGGCCAAGGGCACAGACTGAAACACAGGAGATCCCCTCTGAACATCAGGAAACATTTTCTTTTTTATTATT